GACGTCTTCAGGAAAAGGGTTCGCTTCAGTTCGAAGACATTTGGCCGAAGATGAGACCCGTTATACTCAGACTCTTACGACAAGAGGCCGTCTCAAGAGGTCAATGGCAGGAACTCTTCTGGTAGGGCGTCCCACACGAGTGTCTTACCATTCAAACAGTTCCAGTGGTTATAATGGATATCAATATAGTCTATTAACTATTAGTTACCAGTGTCTGTTTTATCATATCTACGGTATTATTAATTTAGTTATTAATCAATGACTAACTAATCCCAGTCCCTGTCATAAGCTTAAGATTAGATCCATTGTATTGTTCATACGGTATTACGCCACTCATGAGTACTGGGTAACCACTGATCATATTGTCTATCCATTAATCTTTTGGTTATTTGTTTGAATGAATTGTGTGTTAAATTAGTTATTAAATTATTTGCTACTGTTTTGCCGACAAACCCCAATCTACCGGTGCATTGATGGTGTGGTTATGGTGGCCATGGATGTGGACATGGATGTGGACAGGAATGTGCATTCGGTGTGTCTGTGGGACGTTTTCCCACGGTATTTTGACGTGAGTTTGGAGTCTCTTCTATAAGAGCTAAAGTATGTAAAGCGTGTTTAACATTCTGAAAATAACTTAATTAAATCAAAATTAACTCAATAATAAAATTAACACACTATAGTTTACGCAAATATGTGTTTATTATTAGTGTTATAAATAGTTATTATTTTTGTTTTTTAATTATTTTGAGATCATTTTGTTTGTGCAGTCTTTGAAAAGTTTTTTTGTTTTGTTTGAAACGCTTTTTTGAGTTCATTATTCCCATTGAAATGCTTTTTTAAAATGGTTTTAAAGCAAAAAACCCAAAAATTGGATTTTTTAAACGAAATACTCATAATTAATATCTTATTAAATATAAGGAAAATCGAGTGCTATTTAAGAGATAATTATTTTCTATGCAATTATTAGTACAGAAATGTGTTTACGATTAGAGTTCAGTACACTTTTGTTGGCTGTATATGTAGTGACATTGAAATCAAATAATACATCATTTAATAGATTATGTGTTTTATTGCAGATTTATAAAAGGGTGCCATAAAACTGCACTCAAACCTCAGAGAAGATATTCTCGATTTCATACATTTCGCACAAATTGTAAGACTTTTATTGAATTAATTTAGTTTTAATTGAGTTATTATTTTAATTGTGTGCATAGTTTACGCAAATATGTGTTTATTATTAGTGTTATAAATAGCTATTATTTTTATTTTTTAATTATTTTTGAGATCATTTTGTTTGTGCAGTCTTTGAAAAGTTTTTTGTTTTGTTTGAAACGCTTTTTTGAGTTCATTATTCCCATTGAAATGCTTTTTTTAAATGGTTTTAAAGCAAAAAACCCAAAAATTGGATTTTTTAAACGAAATACTCATAATTAATATCTTATTAAATATAAGGAAAATCGAGTGCTATTTAAGAGATAATTATTTTCAATGCAATTATTAGTACAGAAATGTGTTTACGATTAGAGTTCAGTACACTTTTGTTGGCTGTATATGTAGTGACATTGAAATCAAATAATACATCATTTAATAGATTATGTGTTTTATTACAGATTTAAATGTTATGTAAGCAGTGATAATAGGAATGATTACTGTACTAAACTACCAGTGCTCTCAATCTGTTAATTAAGACAAAGCATGAGAGAGAGAGAGAGAGAGAGAGGGAGAGAGAGAGACTTATTATTTGTTGTCGAAAGTTATGCCAAAAATATATCACTGAATGATTTGACAAAAAATCTGATGATTTTAAACGTAAAACTGGTTTCTATGAGAATAATTGAAGTAATTCTTGACGTATAATAGCTCTCCCTTTGCAGACATCCCAAAACTATGAGTTCATGCATAGACTCTCATCCCAGTCCTCCTCCTAGTCCTTGAGAATTGAGTACAGAATAAAGTACTGGAATTCCAGATGACAGTAGTTTATGCATTGATTACGAAATCAAATCATAAGTCTTTGACACTTGTGTTCATAACAAATACGTTTAACTCTTTAATATTTTACTAATTGAGTCGTTGTTGGATTAATTGGATGATAATCTTAAAGATTTATTAATTTTTTGTTGAATTCAAAATATTTACAATTAAGAATATTCTATATTAGAATACATGACTAATTATATAGGATTTAAATCAAATTCTGAATATTGATATCATTTTTGTAAAAAGAGGTTTTCAAAGTCTTCTCATATGATATGCTGTATTTAAAAAATTACATCCAATGACAGGTAGTGATGCAGCACCAGGAGGATCAGGCACTGCTGAAAGCGTACATAAGCTCATGGAAAAAGTTCTTCAGCCAATGCTCATACCTACCGATGCCTTTCCATCAGTTAGAACAGGCATTGCTTAACAAACCGCCCACTAATAGCACTCAGAAAAAGGGTAATAACGATGAAAGTATTGTCCGAAAGGTATGTCAACAACACATGAGATAATAGAAAATGAATGTATTAATGATTTTAATGGCACCGGTAGTTAATGTTGGACAGTTGGAATGCTAGCATATTCTCAAACATCAAACACCGGCTCCAGAACTCTGCCATGAAGTTAGTCCACTCGGAACGCAACGGCGAGGCCTTTGACAGTCAGCTGGTGATAGGGGTCAGGGAGTCGTACGTAAACCTGTGCTCAAACCCTGTGGACAGACTGCAGATCTATAGGGAGAACTTCGAGAAGGCATACCTCGAGGCCACCGAAGCTTTCTATAGGACCAAAGCGCCCGAATATCTGGAGGCTAACGGTGTCCAGAGTTACATGTATTGGGCGGACATGAAGTTAGTGGAAGAGGAACAGAGGGCTTCCCGTTATTTGGAGTCGTATTCCGGTTCCGTTCAGACGGTCTGTCATTTAGTTTAGAAATGAATTTATTTTTAATTTTGATGTGTTTTGGGATCAGCTCTTGGATTGTTGTGTGAAAGTACTGATCACTGCATTTAAAGAGATAATTATTGCCGAATGTCCGCAAATGATTAAATTCAACGATACTACGAGTGAGTTGTGGTTTTTATACTGTAATTAAATTTGTTATTAATATGTTATAAACTAACAATTATTGTGTATTTTGACTAAATTATAATTTTAGTATTCTTAGTAACATTTATTCAATGATTTAATTACTATATAAACAGAGCTGAACCTAATGTTCCGGCTGATGGACCGGGTGCCCGAGGGTATAGTGCCAATGCTGGAGTTTCTGGAGTCGCATATCATCGACCAGGGGTTGGCCGACATGATAGCGTCGGCTGAGGTGATCACTCAGGACTCTGAGAAGTACATCGAGCAGCTCCTGGAGCTATTCAGACGGTTCTCACTGCTAGTCA